TATTATTATTGTTATTATTATTATTATTATTATTATTATTATTATTATTATTATTATTAGTAATTAGGGATTTATTAATTTTTTTTAAATGAATGAAAAGAATTAAATGAATGCATTTCTGAAAATTTCATTATAAAAAAAAGGGGGGGGGGATGATTATGATACGACCGAATGGATAACGACAATTAAAATCGTTTGAAATATAAAAAAAAAAATTAAATTTACTTTTCTGGAAGCGGAACGTAAATTTGTTTTCGAAAACGACGTATAAATCCAGAATCCAGTTCCCACGGGCAATTAGTTGCACCTAATATATAGATATGATAGTTTTCGGGCTCTGATCCAAAATCATCCAGTTGAGTCAATAGTTCTGTTTTAACTCTGAAACACAAAAAAAAAAAAAATTTAGTTTAATTAATCAAAGGTTTGTGACATTTTTTTTTTTTACCTTCTAATACTGTCTTCCTCTGTTGTAGTTCTCTTCCTGCACAAACCATCAATTTCATCAAAAAAAAGTATGGTTGTTTTAGACATTGTTTTAAGCTCTCTGAATAAATCTCTTATTTGCCTTTAAAAAACGGTAATAAAATTAAAAATTCTCTTGTTTGTTTATTTATTTATATAAATATAATATGATTTTTTTACTTTTCACTTTCTCCTTGCCAGTGGGAAAGTACATCAGCACTTGAAACTCTATACAGCAGAGCCCGCATTTCATTTGCAATAGCTTGAGCGAGCATTGTTTTCCCTGTACCCGGAGGCCCGTAAAATAAAATTAAATTCCAACGAAATTTTTCTGAAAAAAAAACAACAAATTTTCTTTATTAAATTTATTCTTTTTTATTTACTACATGTGACTAAGTTTAAAAAAAAAAAAAAGTACACACTTACTTGGAAATAAGTGAGGAAATAAATTAGGATAAATAAAAATATTTAATAATGTTTCCTTAACTTGATTCAATCCACATATATCTTGAAATGTGTAAGTATTTTTCTTAACTTGTAACATACTTTTGTGTTCTGATACAGAAACTGCAAACAAATTATTAAACAGTAATTAAATTTTAAATATATATGTTTAATTTTATAATAATTATATGTAAAATATCAAACTCCTTTCATCCATTTCATATTCCTGTGAGCATTCAAGAGAAGACAACAAGTTTTCAGTTTCTTCATCCTTTTCAGTACTAACTTTTTTATAACCTTCCTCAGAAGACATAGTTTCAAAAGTTCAACAACAAGTAAGACTAAAAAAAAAATGTACAGATTGTATTATTTAGAGATATAATTATTTTTAAAAATGTTTATCCCTAATTGGTGTATATAATTAAATTGTAAAATATTGTATTTATAGTAATTTTAATAAAATTTCTGTGTTTGAATAAAAAGCTTTTTTTTTTTTAATGTAAACCTCAAGTGTGAGAAATTAAACCAGAAATGAAAATTGAATATTTTAGTATTAATATTACAAAAAAATTAATAAATTAAAGTTATACCTTTTAAAAAATGAGTTTCTGAAATATATATGTTAAATATTTTATTCTTACTTTAAAATAAAAGTGAAAACTTTCAAATTTTCGTTTAAAAAAATTGATATTCAATGAAATTCAAACACAACTTTTAACGGAATTCGAATTAGTCGTCTTGTCTAATTACACGTTTCGTAATAATGGAAGGGTTTGGCACCAAAAACATTCACTAGACGAATACTTTCAAATGATCAAAAAATTTTTTTTAAATTTTAGAAGTCATTCATTTTAATAAATTAAAAATATTTTTCCTCAAAGTATTTAAAATACGATAATTATTATTCTGTTTAATTTTTAATTTCGAAAAAGTCATTAAGTTACATAAAACAATCTTTTCATTATTTTTTATTATTTTGAATGAGAAAAAACTGGTCGAAGTTATGAATCAGAAGTTTAGCGTTAATACCACGATTGTTATTCATGTTTCTCTATGATTTTTATTTAACGCCAAGTATTTTTTAATTTTTTTTTTTTTTTTTTTTTTTTTTACAATGACGATTTATAAAAGATTTTATTTAGTTTTATTTTACATAACCTTTTATAGTACAACAAATATCTTTTACAGTATTTTAGGTAAAGTTTATTGATTATATTTAGTATTTAAATAGGTTTAATTACAAAAAGGGGCGCGTCCTTTAACGTTTTGTATATTTGTTACATTCTACCTTAAAATAATGCTTGTTTTAAGAATTAAAATTGAATAGTAACATATCCGTCGAAATGTTATATAAATATTTTTAAAAAAACAACGTTTTAATTTATTTGTTATATTAAATCAAAGCCTTATTTAATTATAAAAATTTTTGCCACAATTGAATCAATTAATAAAAAATGTGTCACCTGTTGCTATCAGTATTTTAGTACAATATCTATGCTTTTTTTTTGTAAAATTATTAATTTCCTTTCCAGCACAAGATTATTTAATTGATACTTTATTAACTCAAACCAGTAATATTACATTTTGTACAACTTCTGCCGAAGAACAAAGAAAATGTCAGGCCCTATCGATGGCTGCAGAAAGAGATATTGTAAATAGCAAAATTAATTGTAGACAAGGTGCTAATAAAGATGATTGTATGATATTATTAGACCAAGATTTTGCTGATATTACTACATTGGATGCTGGAGAAGTATTTATTGCTGGAAGATATCACAGTTTAATACCCATAGCTCAAGAGGTTAAAAAAAAAAAAACAATTTTTTTTTTTCGTAATTATTTACTAAAAGTTCACATTTAAAATATATTTGTGTTTGTTCAGAGTTATGGATCAGGAGAAACAAATTATTTTAGTGTAGCAGCCATAAAGCGAGGTTCTTTACCCGATGTAAGAAGATTAGAAGATTTGAAAGGAAGGAAAGCTTGTTTTGCTGGTGTAGGCACTTTAGCTGGTTGGGCAATACCTATACACACAGTAAGAACAACAATAACATTTTTTTTTTCTTTCTTATGTTACAATTTTAATTAAAGTAAAGTAATTTTTTAATTATCAGCTAATAAAACATGGAAATATGCCAATAATCGATTGCAATAATCACATTAAGTCAGCTATAAATTACTTTGGTCCAAGCTGTGCAGTTAATTCTTTGATCGATAAGTATAACCCTATTGGTGATAATTCTGATAAATTATGTCAAATTTGTGGAGGAGAAACTGCTGGTGAAAAGTGTACACCAAATGATCCATACTACGGATATGAGGGAGCATTTAAATGTTTGGTAGAAAAGGGTGAAATAGCATTTTTAAAACATTCGACAATTAATGAAGTTCTTAAAAAATCTCCAGGTTTTGGTAAGTTTTAATTGTAAATAGTTTAATTATTCATACTGTTTATATTTTATTAAGTATTGTGATGATTTTCAATTTTTAAGGATCTACAAGGAATTTAAATGATTTTGAATTATTTTGTCCCGATGGAACGAGAAGACCAATCGATGGATATTTGAATTGTAATTGGGGGAGAGTACCTTCGCAGGCAATAGTAACAAGTTCTGCTAAAACTGCGAAACAAAAATTATTTTATCAAAAATTCATCAAGGTAAGAACCTTTTATTTATGTTAGTTTATTAAATTTTGTTTTAAATTTATTTGTATTAAAAAAAAAATTGTTTAATTTTATTTTAGAGACTTATTGAACTCTATGGTAAACCCATCAATTCTAACTTGAATAATTATAACAATCCTGTAGGAGGATTCAAACCTTATAACCCGGATAACGATTATAAAACATTTGAACAATTTAATTTATTTCAAAGTGCTCCTAAATATGGCAGCAGGCACAATTTGTTATTCCAGGTACGTTCAGCAAAAAAAAATTTAATTTAACGATCAGTGAGTGATTTTTTTTTTTTTTTTGTTAAATGAGTAACAAAACATTTTTTGTTATTAAGGATGATTCGACTGGTGTCGTGGCTGTAGAAGAATGGAGACAAACATATTCTGATTTTTTGGGTGATAGCATGAAAGTTATACACGGTATTCGCGAATGTCCGGTTAAGAGAATGACTTTATGCGTCACTTCTGAAATCGAAATGGAAAAATGCGTTAAAATGAAAGTAATTATCGATTCATTTAAATTACTCGTGATTTACGACAATCTCCTCTCAATTTGTATAAGATTTTAACTAAAATCAGCGTGTAATTACGTGAAAATGAAATAATCATAACGATTGTTATGAAAGTATTCGAATCGAATCGTAACTGACATTTTTCATGTTATTATTAAATATTATTTTTTTTAATGAAATTTAGGTGGCAATGAAAGCTCAACTTCTCAGACCGGAAATGCTGTGTTATAAAGGTCACAGTCAAATTAATTGTATGCAAGCCATTAGAAACGGGTGATTACTACTCTTACAACAATAATTTTTTTTTTTTTTTACTGATTTTTTTTTTTTTTTTTAATATGTTTTTTTTAAATTTTAAGGTTGGCGGACGTGGCGGTTTTCGATGCGGGAGATGTCTATACGGCGGGTCTTAATTATAATCTTATGCCTTTCATGTCGGAGATTTACAATTTAGACACACCGGAATACTATGTTATAGCCGTCACGAAGGAAGAAGACCCGGATACGGAATTAACTTATTTAAAAGGAAAATATACTTGTCACACGGGTATCAACACGGCAGCCGGTTGGGTCATACCTTTGGCATTTCTAATATCGAACGGCATGATAAGAAGTTACGGTTGTAATTCGATACGAGCCGCAGCGGAATATTTTACGAAAAGTTGCGTGCCTGGAGCCATAAGCGCCGAATACAACACGGGAGTCCCGTATGATAACATGTGCGGTTTATGCCACGGATCGAGTTATCGATACTGTCGACGTGACGCAAGCGAAGATTATTTCGGACACACGGGAGCGTTTAGATGTTTAGTAGAAGGCGGTGGTCAAGTCGCTTTCGTCAAACACACGACCGTGATAGAAAACACGGATGGGAAAAAAAAAGACTACTGGGTTAGAAATACTTTCAGGGATGAATTCGAATTGTTGTGTCCCGACGGTGAGTAGTAGAGCTAAAATTGTCCTTTTAAATTTGTTTGCACGTAAATAAAAAACTTTAACTTTTAGGTACGAGAGGTCAAATACACGATTTTAAACGGTGCGCACTCGGAAAAGTCAAAGCGAACGCCATAGTGACAAGAGGTGGCCTGGGTTACAACGAAACGGAAGTCAACGCTTACATAAATTTGTTTCTATACGCTCAACAATTTTACGGAAGTAAAGACATTGACGATTTCAGGTACGTGCGTTTGTTCAATAACGATCGATCCTTAATTGAGTAATAATGATAATGATAATTTTTTTTTTTTGTTCGGAAATTAGTTTCAGCATGTTTTCGTCGCCGGCACCGTACAGCGATCTTATTTTTCAAGATGCCACGACTCAATTGTTGGTCATACCACCTGAGAAACGTTTTTTCTCAGATTACTTGGGTAAAAATTTCATGCGAGCAAAACGAATCGTCGATTGTTATGCTTCCGCTCACATTTCAAAATCGTCTACAACAATTTTATTAATGACGTCATCTTTCCTATTTGTTTTTGCTTTTATACTTTAGCTTTTTCCTAACTAATAGTATTATTATTATTATTATTATTATTATTAACAAACCGTATAAAACGCGTGAATGATGTTCAAGTTTTTTTATTGCAGTAGTTAAACGGTTAAAAATTAAAATAAAATAATTCGATGAGATTATATTTATCGATTAACCAGAACTAATTTATTAACGCCTCGTAAATGAACTTTGACCCCGTGAAAAATGAAATTGTCAATTTTTTGCATTTAAAAAAAATGTATTTACGAGAAAAAAATCCGACGGCCGAAAATTGAATTTAATTCGCGCGCCCGTACACGCACACACACACACACGATTCGGAAAAAAATAAATAAATTTAAAAGACAGTCAGTCAATCAGTCAGTGAATTAATCAGTCAAGAATTTAATTTTAAAACTAATGTCAATTAATTTTTTGTTTTTGTAGAATTATAATCAGACATGTTTTTTTTTTTTTTTTTTTTTTTATCAACGGCGCTAATAATTTTATTCGCTTTTTTTTTCACACATATTTTATCGATGAATCATTATTATTATTATTATTATTATAGTGAAATCAAAGAGAAAGAGAGAGAGAGAGAAAGATAAAAAGAAATTATTTTTGTAAGTTTTTATATAATAGTTGAAACAGAAAGTAAAAATGAAATCAGAAATTATCTAAAAGGAAAAATTTAATTATTATTAATTATGTATCGATATTATTATTAATCCGTCCTTTAAAATCAATCAATCGATGAGATATCAATACGATATTGATTTATTGATTTATTTTTATATTTAAAAAAAAAAAAAAATTTGTACAAGTGATATATGAAATTAAATTCGTCCAATTAATTTTACTGTATAAGAAAAAAAAACTTTTTTGTAAATTTTCTTTTTTTTTTTTTGTGGTCTTTTTTAATTTATTATATTTTTATAAGATTATATTAAAAATAAATAAATAAAATAAATAAAAGAAAATTTTTTTATGTATTTAATCGATTAACCTCAATAATAAAATCCGTTTTGTCCTTTTTTTCAAAAACAAAAAGCGAAATTTCACCGAATTAACAATTAAGGAAATCCGCCTACTTTAATATTATCATCAACTTTTTCCCTTTTAATTAAAAAATCCCATCGAATTAAATTTAAAAAAAAAAAAAAATTTGCGTAAAATGGCGTCGACGTATAAATAAATAAATAAATAAAATATAAAAAAGGAAAACGATATATTTTTTCCTCGGTTAAAAGGTCAATGACCCGTTTGTGCGCGCGGGAAAAACAACAAAAAAAAATTACGTAACAAATCAACTCTCACGCAAATGTTTAAAATTTCATTTTCATCATTTTCGATTTGCGAAAAATTTAATTATTATTATCATTATTATCATTATTATTATTATTTAAGTAAAAGAAAAACCGGAAACGTTTCACGTCGATCAAAACAACAACAACAACAACTAGAAAACAAAACAAAAACTTTTAAATATTAACATTATTATTATTATTCCGTTGCAATTCGATAAGTTTACTTAAAAAAAAAATCACTTTCACCGTCGCTCTTACGAATAATAATAATAATAATAATGATGATGATGATGATGATGATGATGATGATGGCGAGAATAAAAAATAAATGGAAAAACAAAAGAAAATTTCGCGATTGGCGTGGCGGTTTTTTTTTTTTTATCCGAAATAAAAACAACGAAAACACCATCGCATTTCCTTTTGCCGTAGTACGAACATAATAATAATAATAATAATGATAATAATTTTTAGGTACTACCTTAGTGTGAAAACCCCCAAGGTTACGCGGGTATGGTATGATATGGTATGGGATTCATAGTTTGGAAATACCCGTTTTTGTAAACCCTTTACTTTCTGATTTGAATCACGGGTGAAAGCAAAAGAGAGGACATGTCATAATAATAATAATAATAATAATTTATGTGTTTGTGTGAGTGCGTGAGTGCGTGTGAGTGCGTACGTAACGATTAATTAGTGGAAATGTTTTTTTTTAATTAATAAAATTGTAAAGAAAAAAATGTGCAAACGAACAAACAATTTACTGGAGCGTAAATGTTAAAAGGATAAATCGATTTCTTAATCTCAAAAAAAAAAGAGATAATCCGCCATAATCCGGAAAATCCAAAAAATTAAATAATAAATAAATTATTTCAAAATTTATTGGAATTCCCCCCATAAAATAATGTCAAATGATTTTGTTTGTTTGTTTAGATTTTTTTATATTCTTTCGTTTGTAAAAAGAAAATTTTTTTTTTTTTTGGGGGGGCGGGGTTAAAAACAACGCGTGGAAATTATTTTCCAGTAGTGTCTGGAGAAGAATCAGTAATTACTCATCGGTTCGAATTGAATTTTACTTTTGTTATGGAGAGAAAATTACGTAACAATTTTATTCCGTGATTAATTCATGAAGGAATTCCATGGAAGATGTTCGTCCTCGTTTACAAAAGGGTCCCCCTTATTTATAATTATTATTATTGTTATTGTTAAAATTGACATTTCAAAAAAAAAATGACGTGGTTGTAACAAGGTTTTTAAAAAAGGAAAAATTTTACCCTTGACCCAATAATCTCTTATCACATCATCCATATTGATTTGTTTGTTTCCAAAAAATTTTTTTTTTTTTTATTGTTTCCGCATTTTAAAAAATGTTTGTTTTGTACTTATACAAACAACAACAACAACAAAAAAATCGTTTTTAATTAAATAATTAATTTTAATTACAGATAAACTAAAAAAAAATGGAATTGATAACATCCGAAAGTTTAAAGTTTCGCCATTGATAAGAAATCTTAAATAAAAATTCGTTTTAAGTGAAAATAAATATTTTTTATCCGGGATTTTAAAAGGGATTCCCCGTTAACCATCATAATTAACATATATTTTAATTAATAAAAAAAAAAAAACTTACGTAAAAAAAAAAAAATTAAACTGGGGGACCGAATATCTACTGCTACTACTACTCGTTACGCAATTAACCGTCATGATGGAATTGTTTATATCTCTCTCTCCATACTACGAAGAGAGTTTGGAAAAAAGGGAAAGAAAAGAAAAAAAGAAACGTAAGAAGACCTAATTAACCATTACGATATTTAATACGACGTAATTCTTTTAATAATAATATTTTTAATAAAAAACGATGGGATTTTTAAAAAAAAAAAAAAAAAAAAGGTGTGCGTAGTTTCACTTTCTACACAAACTGTAAAGAGATAATGGTGGTGGTGGCGGTGGTGGTGGTGGTGGTTGTTGTTGTTGTTGTTGTTTTGGATCATACAAGAATTTTTGTGATTAGTCTCCGGGTTTAACTCTTTCAATATTGGCCGAGGGTTGTGAGTGAGAGAGAGAGAAAAAGAAAAAAAAAAAAAATTCATAATTTTTCGTTTGTTGTGCGCGTTTGTCGTTGTCGTTGTCGTTGTTATTGTTGTTTTTTTTTTTTTCGTTGTTAATTATTAAAACGATTGATCGATATGTATCGTTGTCATTATTTACAAAAAAAAATAAAAACGACATGGGCCCGTTAAAATCCATTAAAATTAAATCTATAAAGAGAAAACGTAGAATTAAATAAACAAACGGACAAACGGACGATTTTATACATTATTATTATTATTATTATTATTATTATTATTATTATTATTATTATTATTACTAGATTGTTGTTGTTTTAAATTTAAAATAAAAAATTTCACGTGGAAAATGAAAGGAATTAAAAAAATTGGTAAGTTGTAATAATAATAAAAAAATTTTTTTTGACCGCGATGAGGTTCATACCCGAAAAACAATTATTATTATTATTATTATTAATTTTTTTTGGTAGCCAAGTAAGTAAAAGTTTTTTTTTTTATTTTACGGTCGAGTAATTTTTTTTTATTATTTATTACCACTTAATAGAGTAATAAAAAAAAAAAAGAAAATTTTTTAAAACCCGACGGCCTTTTACCCGTTTAAACATCAAACAAATTTTTTAGAGCGTACATATAAATAAAAACGAACCTAAAAAAATTACTAGCAGACGAATCAATTTGATAATAATAATAATAACGTATTAAACAAACAAAAAAACAAACGGTTGAACGAATAATAATAATAATAATTTAGTTTGTTGTAAAAAAAATATAAAAAAAATTAGGATCGATCATCTTATAAAATCATACGAGAAATTTTCGCGTATTTATTTATTTACTTTTTTTTTTCAAACGAGAACAACAAACAAACAAACAAACGAACAAACGACAAATCTAAAAAAAAAAAATTTTGCTCCATTTAATAATAATAATAATTTATTTTCACTTTAGCAAAAGTGAGTCGCCCACATATAAAAAATAAAAAAAATTATTTTCGGTTCTTTATAAAAAAAATCTTGTTTTCTTCTTCTCCTTATTATTATTATCATTATTAATATCATCATCGGTTAGTGGGTGGTTGTAAAGGGGGAGGAGGACGGGGAGAGAGGGAAGATGGAAAAAAAGAGAAAAGCAAAATTTTAAACGGGACCGGATTTAAATTTGACCCAAGAAAAGCTTTCAAGAAAACAAAAAAAAAATAGAAAATTTTACAATAACAAACGAGTAGTAACAACAACAACAACAACCATTTTGTTTGTTTATTAATCGAAAGCGAACGCCTGATGACGAAACAAATTTTTTTTTTTTAAATAGAATTTGTTCGAAAGCTCCTTCGTCATCCTATTCCATTAAATTACATTCGAGAATTAAAAAATCAACGAAAGAGATTTATTATTATTATTATTATTATTATTATTATTTTTAATTAAGGACCGACGTGAAATGTCGAACGAATCACAAATTAACAAACAAACAAACAACAAACAATCAAAGTAAAACGAAAAAATGAAAGTTTTTTTTTTTTTTAAACGACAACATTCGAACGAAATTTTTTTTTTTTTTTACGTTCGTTCGTTTGTTTGTTTGTTAAAACAAACGTTTGTCGATTGTTTTTATCATTTCATCTGAGAACGAAATCGCGTTTAAGTTTAAAAAGAGAAAAAACTTTTTTTTGCTACTTTTCTCACAGCAAAAGTTGTTATCGCGCCATTTTACTTTTTTTTTTTTTTTTAGTCATGACTCCGACAAAAAAAAAAAATCCTACGAAATTTCTCTCTTTCTCCCTCTCTTTCTTTCTTTCTTTCTCTCTCTCTCTCTCTCTTTTCGTCGAAATTACGCAATGCGTGAGTGACGAGCGCGTTGTGGGAAATTTTTCTTCGTTTTCCAATTTAAAAAAAGTTTTCACTTGATAACTTTTCATTTTTTTTAAACGAAATTTTAATTTTAATTTTTACGTAACGGTTACGTTTTATTTATTTTATTCGTTTGTTTGTTTGTTCGTTCGTTTGTTTACCTTAAATCCTTGCGTAATAATAATAATAATAATAATAATATGCAACGTTTAATTATTATAATTTAATACGGATGTAAAATAAAATCACGCGCGCGTCGTTAAGTTAATAGAAAGTTTATTACGTTTGCGTGTTTGTTTTTGTTTATCGTTCGGTTGTTGTTGTGATTGTTGTTGTTGTTGTTGTTAACGTCTTTTCATCTTCCTTTCGTCATCGGTATCACTCATTTATCAATATCGTTTCTTCTTCCTCGTTTATTTTCCCCGCGAGTTATTAAATTTAAAAAAGTCCAAGGACGTGTGGATTATCAGTCAAGGTCAAGGTTAATCCTTCTTTAATCCTTCTCGTCTCTCGGGATTATTTGAATAATTGTTTCCCTTTTTAATTTTTTTTTGGGTGCGTGCGTGCGTGATAAGAGATAGTAATGGCGATAAAAATATTGTATATTAACGATTCGTTTGTTTTTTTTGTTTGTTTCAGAATTAATAATAATTATTTCTTCGGCGTGTTTAATTTGTTTGGCATCTTCGCAAAGGTTTTTCCCTAACGAACGCAATCAAAGTAAGTAAAAAACTGAATGAGTGAATGAATGAATGAATGAAAGTGAATTGCGTGCGGTAAAACTAAAAAATTAACCGGGGTAAAATTAACCGCCATAATAATAATAATAATAAATTACGACACTGACCGTCAATAACGAGAAAATTATCGGTTGAAAAACATTTAAAATGACTTCCTTGACCGTCCACTCTCACTTTCTTTCTATTACGACGGTTTTTAAAACTCGGTTTCGAAAACTCCAATTCTCATCGATAATAAATATTATTATTATTATTAGTCATAAAAAAAAAAAGTTAATAATAATGATATTTATTTTGCATTCACTAGTTAAAAAGTAAATTTAATTTTATATATAAAGAAATACCGCCGCGTTTTAAAAAGAGAGAGAGAGAGAGAGAGAGAGAGAGAGAGAGATGGTAGTAAAAATTAGAAAGTAACGTTTTCGTTTAATTACTTTTTTTTTTTTTTTTTGTCTTTTGCAGATCATTGGTCGTCGTCGCCATCATCGTCATCGTCATCGTCGTCTCAAAGTTATTTTAATGGAGAATCATGGCCGCGTTTTACAAGAAGCGACTCATACGAAGACGGATACGAAAGTCAATCATCAATCGGAAGATCACTTCAAACGAGAGAAAGAAAAGCAAAATTACCAAACCTATGGTCGGAAGTCGAAGAAACAAAAGACGTTAATCGCGATTTCAATGATGATTACGAGGATACGCCGTCGGAAAGCGGACGACATTTTAGTCCGGAATCAATAAAAAAATTTACCGAAACGTTGGGTGCTATAAATACCGTCGGAAGATTTTTAGTCAACATGACGAGATCGTATAATTCTAATAATCCGATTGCGACGGAAAAAAAAGAAACGCCATCCGAAGATGTACCCGCTGCCATATATACGATAAGTAAAAATGTTTTGGGACCGAACGTGACGGATACTATAGCTCCCATAGTACGACAATTTCCACTCGTTAATCTTAATTCTGGAAAAGTTGTGGCGGATAAAGGACGCGAATGTACGACACCGAATCAACAACAGGGTGTTTGTGACGATTTGAGTAATTGTCCTGAACTCCTTCTCGATCTTGCTAATTTAAGACAATCAATTTGTTTTAAAAGCTTGTTTGTACCTGGAGTTTGTTGTCCAATTAAACAAAGCGGGTAAGACGCCAAAAGTTTATAAAACATCCTCCCGAACAAGGATGTTGATTTTGCCACGAATATTTTATTATAAAAATCCCGAGAAAAAAAAAAAATTACTTCGAAGAAGTAATAAAAAAAAAAAAAAAAATTATTACGTAATTTAAAATTAAACAAACAAACGAGAACGAGAACAACAACGACAAACGGTAAGAAAAATAAATGAAATTCTGTAAAATTTTATGTAAGATTATTTTTAGGTCTGTGTCAAACAAACCGTCGCCAACTTCATCGGCTATATATCAAATTACAACAAAAAGACCTTATTATACTACGACAAGAAGACAAACAACAACCACGACCGTTAGAACAACTTCTTATCGTCCATCCACCACAACAACTTTACCTCCTTTGACCGTAGATTCAAACGGTTGGTTTTTTTATTAAACAACTCGTCATGATCTATAACTTTCTTATGTTTGTTGTCCGTTTCTAAACATGATTGTCTTTAAAAACCTAAATGAATTATTTATAGATTGTGGACAACAAGAAGTTCCAGGATTTCGTGTCGTCGGAGGTACGGAATCGAATCCCGGACAATGGCCTTGGATGGCAGCCATATTTCTTCACGGTGTCCGAAGAACTGAATTTTGGTGCGGCGGTTCTTTAATCGGACGACGCCATATTTTAACGGCTGCTCATTGCACGAGAGACACAAGACAAAAACCGTAAATTTAAAATTTAAATTTTCCCGAAATAATCATAATAATAATAATAATAAAATGTGTGGATTTTTTTTTTAGATTCAGCGCACGTCAATTCACAGTTCGTTTAGGTGACGTAGATCTTAGAAGTTCGGACGAACCCTCGCAACCGGAAACATATAATGTCGTAGAAATAAGAGCGCATCCGAAATTCAGTCGAATCGGTTTTTACAATGACATTGCCATATTAGTTTTAGACAGAGATGTTAAAAAATCAAAATTTGTCATACCTTTATGCTTGCCCGAACGGTATAGAAGTGATAATTTTGTCGGTAATCGTCCCACTGTCGTCGGATGGGGTACTACGTACTACGGTGGAAAAGAAAGCACGACGCAAAGACAAGCGGAACTTCCGGTTTGGAGAAACGAAGATTGCGATCGTGCTTATTTTCAACCGATCGATGAAAATTTCATATGTGCCGGATATGCAGACGGTGGAAAAGATGCCTGTCAGGTTCGTTACCTGACCGTTTCCGGCCTCCCCCTTCCTGTAAAAACAAAATTACTTATTAATTTTCTTTCCAGGGTGATTCTGGCGGTCCATTAATGGTTCACAAAGGAAGTAGATGGATGCAAATAGGTATCGTTTCATTCGGTAATAAATGCGGGGAACCGGGTTATCCAGGAGTGTATACGAGAGTCACGAGATATTTAGACTGGATTAGACAAAACACGTACTGATGATTTCAACAACAACAACAAAAAAAAATGGAGAAGAATAAATAAATAAATAAATGACGTCAAATTTATATATCCCGATTTATCCCTTCCTCTCCCCACCCCACCCCCCGCTATCGAGGATATTAATAAAATATTTTTTTTAATTACGTTAACACACGATCGTGACGTCATTTTTTAATTACCTATATTTATTTTTTTTTATTTTTATTATTAATTAAATTGTAATATATAATAAATGTATTTATTAATAAACGATATTATCATTATTATTTAAACCTGAACCTTTTTAATTAATTATTTAATATCGATTGATTTTTACCTTTTTTTTTGTATAAATAATCCGCATCGGACAAAATGGACGATAAATTTTTCTTTTTCTTTCCGGAAGTGACGAAATCTTATCCATTGTGCGGGATTCGCGTTCGAATGGTTATACCTGAAATATAAATACAGGTTATTAAAAATGGTAATAATAATAATAATAAAAGGTTCGGATTATAAAAAAAAAAAAAAAAAGTTACTGAACTTTTTTTTTTACACAACAACCTTGTCGGTAATAATTATTATGTAATTAAATTAAAAAAAAAAAAATGACAACCTGTTTTGTTGTTCGTCTTACAAAATTTATTTTTTTTGTTGTAACCTCATCACGTGACAGGTATTCCGTCATAAGAGCAAATCATAAAAATAAAATGGGGAGCAATACGTCAAAGAATATTTTGGTTATGCATTCGTCATTTAGATTGACACGAACAATGATAATAGAAGAAGTAAAAATGGCGAAATGTACGTTTCGTAACGTAAAATTGATGATAGCAAGAGACAAATATGCAAAATAATGGGGGGAAGTGGGAAGAGAGAAAGGTAGAGAAAAGACAGAAAGAAGGGAGATAGAAGGATGAAGGGAAGAATTAGAAATAGAAATAGAGATAGAGATAGAGAGAGAGAGCAAATATTCTTTATTTAAATAAAATTGGGGGGAGCAGAAGAAAGAGATCAAACTCACCTATTAAGATCAAATTTTCGTGACGCCATTTTCTTTTTTTTTTTTTACGCACCCAAAACATGAAACGTAATTCTTGGAAGCTTCAATAGAATAATTAAACTTTAATTTTCCTTCTTCTTGAAGTTTTGCAACCGGTTTTTTTTTTTTTTTAAACCAGGATCTCATCGTTTTGCTTAAGGACAAGAGCCAAAGGGAGAAACGAGATGGAAAACGTGATTCAAAGTTATCCAGTCGACGTCTGCCTCACCTGGAACATGGAACTTAAAATTTTAGTATCGTTAACAACAATTTTTTTTTATTGCGTTGACGCGCAAGGATTTTTCAGGTATTTTAACGTTTTTCTTTTTTTTCATTTTTTTCTTTTTTTTTATTATATGGTAAAAAATTTAAACGAGCGTGATCGCCATTTTGTTTTTTTTTTTTAAATTTTAAAATTCGAGATTTTTAATGTGACAAACGAGTTTCGTTTTTATTTGGAGAGAAAAAAAAAGGTGTAGGTGACAAATCGATTGTTTTCTGCTTTTGTTTGTTTGTTCGATAATAATGATACTTATTAGAATATTAAACAATGGCGAACGTCATTCTTTTTTTCATTTCCTTGACCTCTTTTTATTAGTTTTCACGTTAAAAATTTATTATATTTAACTCGAATGTATGTTTTTTTCTTTTTCCATGGAATTTTCTAGAATTATAAATGAAAATGGAATGATTTAAAAAAAAAAAAAAATTTTTAATTTCAAATCGTTCGTATTCTCTTAAATATTCGTTTCCCCCCAGGAACGAATTATTTCCAGAACAAATACAACAGCACGATCTTCAAATAGAAACTCAAAAATTACAGGATGAACTTCAAGCGTTGACCGTTTTTTGGCAAAACAATCCCGGATTAATGTCGAGAGACGAATTTGATAAAAAAAGAAATGATCTTTTGGAAAAACTACAACAAACACAAACGAAACAACAAGAACTTCAACAATTGTTACAATTAAGACTCACTAGTAATCCTTTTCGTTTTATAACGATAAATAATTCTCAAAATCCAACCAAAACTACCCTTACCGATTCACCGACAACCACCACGACCCCCACAACTCCCCCCGCGACCACTACCCCTCCTACTACTACCACTACTACTTCCATCCCCGTAATAAAGAGGTACGTGTCAGCAGCGATCGTAGGAGAATATATATAGATTTGATACGCATAAAATAACTTTTTAATTTATGTAAATGGCTTTACAAGGTTTTTAATAAATTTTCTCTCGTAAAAAATCTACGAGAATTATTAATAATAATAATAATAATAATACTTGGAACGATATGACCGTTTGTTGGTTGTATACATAAAAACTTCAGGGTCTTATTTTATTTATCGGTTTGTATATATATAAAATTTGTTGTGCGTGTGCGTGTGCGCGTGTGTCTTGTAAATAATGCTTGGGTTAGTTAATTAATGTTTTTTTATGTAGACACTTATTTATGTGTCTTAATCTTCCATGCACTAACCGTGATTTGTGTTTTATATCCTCAAGGTTAAAAACATTAATTAAATAATAACCAATTATTTTATATTGTTTTGTTGTTTGTTGTTGTTGTTGTTTTTGGGAGGTTTATAAAGTTACGGTGTAGTTTGCACCAACAACAAAAACAAACTAATATTTTATACAAACAAAGGAAAGGATTCTAACACAATCGTTTGGATAAATAAATAAAATGAATAAAGTTAAAAAAAAAAAAATTACTTTTTTTTGTGTTTAGTCCCCAACAAGGTGGTGGTCCAGACGTTGGTTTACAATTTCAACAACAATTTCCTCCTCTTCAACAGCCGCCATTTTTTCAACAGCAACAATTCAATCAACAACCACCTTTTTTCACGTCATCTTCGTCTTCTTCATTTACGAGAGAAACGAATACATTTACAATAAATCAACCGGAATTTTTATCCTTCGTACCGCCGTGTCGAACACAATCTGGAGAAAATGGAAGATGTCGACCGCTTACGCAGTGCGTTAATTTTTACGCAGAAGTACCGGAATTAAGACGGCAACCCTGTAAATTAAACGAAGTCGAATTTGGAGTTTGTTGTCCTTTGAGACAACATATCGGTAATTATACATTATATATATGATAAAATGTCAAAGGAAAACTTGGTACTTACCGATGTTTTCTTAGCTCCCGTGAGGGGTGACGTTGGAGTTTTACGACCCCCACCACCACCACCGGTTGTCATTCCACCTTTTACTCCAACCGAATTGAACAATGCGGGTAATGTTGCGTTGAAAAAATTACAAGATAGGTTGCAATTCGTGGCACAATTATTTGCAAATAATATTTTCATACCGAATGGAACGCCGACTGCGTGGCATTTGCAATTTTTCAAAACCGGAAACGATACTCTCGAGGTTGGAAACATAGCGCAGAAAACCGTTGAAGCGAGTGTTAATCTCGTTAACGAGTGAGATAAAAATTATATTTTTTTTTTCTTCTTCATTTCCGGTTTTTCGAAAATCGATTAATACGTGACTGGTAAAAAAAAAAATTTAAGCTTTCAGTTGAGTCCGGATCAGGGTAGATTCGCACTTCCGACATTTAGTGTTCTCAACACGGTTATTGCGGATACTTGTCCGAGAAGTGCCAATTGTAGACCGCAAAAATACAGATCGGCAGATGGATCCTGTAATAATTTACTACAAGACGGTTGGGGAAAGTCTGGAACGGCACTTCAACGTATCATTTCTCCAAAATACGAAGATGGTAATAATAATTAAGTTAAAATAGATAATTATTATTATTATTTGAATTTTTTTTTGTTTGTAAATTCAGGTGTAAATGCACCGAGAAGTAAATCGGAAACTGGACAAGATTTACCGAGTGCTCGATTGATCAGTACCGTATTCGCGACCGACACAAATAATCCTCATGAAAATTTAACTCAAATGGTCATGCAATGGGGTCAATTTTTAGATCACGATTTGACACACACTCCGATAACGAGAGGTAAAAATTTTCTTTTGTTTTCTACCGGAAATTCCGATCGTTTGCTAAAGTATAAATTTCATTTCAGGACAAGGCGGAAGTGGTATTTCTTGTTGTCAAAACGGTCAAAACATTGCCGATAATTTAAAACATCCGGATTGTTTTGCTATTTCTCTCTCTAAAAACGATCACATATTTGCACCTTTTGGTGAACGTTGCATGGAATTTGTTAGATCACTTCCAGCTCCACGTCCGGAATGTAATTTCGGTCCTAGGGAACAGGTACTTGGAAGAAAAAAAAAGTCACGTTATTTAAATAATAATAATAATAATAAACCAAACGAGAAAAATTTTTATTATTTCATTAACTTAGATGAATCAAATAACCGGATTTCAAGATGGATCAAATATTTACGGATCTAATTTAGGATCGCAAAGAGAATTGCGAGAATTTCGTGGCGGTAGATTAAGAATACAAAATATCAAAGGAAGAGAATATTTACCTGATAACGAAGAAGAATGTGCCAACGAAATCGGAGAAACTTGTTTTAAATCCGGTATGGGAAATTTTTTTTCCCCCTCTCCCCGGAAAATTCTGCCCGTGTGGAAACTCTTTTGTAATTAATTTTAAAAAAATTTTTTTAGGAGATTCTAGAGTAAACGAACAAGTTAATTTGGCATTGATGCACACGATTTGGATGAGAGAACATAATAGAGTGGCTGCAGAATTGCAAAAACTACATCCGGATTGGAACGACGAAGCTTTGTTTCAAGAAACCAGAAGAATCGTCGTTGCCGAAATGCAACACATAACATACAATGAATTTTTACCCATTCTTTTAGGTAAGTTAAACATTATTGCGATCCACCGGAAATAAAAACAACTCGAATCCTTTATTAAAAACCCCCCACAGGTAGAAAATACATGGAAAAATTCGAATTGACTCCGAAAGAAGAAGGACAGCCAACTTTATACAACGAAAATATTAATCCTGGAATAACGAATGTTTTTGCCACGGCCGCTTTTCGTTTTGGTCATTCTTTAATCGATGGAATACAAAGGTACAGTTTTCAATACTTTTTATTTCCGTATCCGGTATAATAATAATAATAATAATAATAATTTTTTTTCAACATTAAAAATATAAATTTAAAAGATATCGTAATGAAATCGTTAAAACTCGTTTCGCAAGTTTTATTATTTATCGATAATCGAATATTTTTTAATGCCTGGCGAAATAATAATAATAATAATAATAATAATAAATCTTCTCTTTTCGAATCCACGTTTTAGAGGATTGAATAGATTTGGAAGCGTACAAGAAAATTTAGTTTTACATCAAAATCATTTTTCACCATTTATCTTATATAAAAGCGAAGCCATGGATGATTTTATAAGAGGTTTAACGAGTACACCGGCGCAAAAATTCGATCGCCATTTTACGAGCGAGGTAATATGTAAAAAAAAGAATGGCGACAATCGCCGCCGCCGCCGCCATCGCGATGAGTTAAAATTTTTTTTTTTTTTTGGCAGATCACCGATCATTTATTCCAAGGAGATCTTGATTTCGGTTTAGATTTGGTAGCGTTAAACATTCAAAGAGGAAGAGATCACGGTTTGGCACCTTATAACGAATGGAGAAGCGTTTGTAGTTTGCCGACGTTTAATACTTGGGAAGAACTCGCGACCGTCATGGAACCAAACGTAACATAAGAAAAAAAATAATCCATAAATTTATTGTTTAATAAATTTTTAATAATTTTTTTTTTTTTGTTGGTTTTCAGAGTGTGAACGTTTTAAGAAAATTATATCCGACCGTCAACGATTTAGATTTATTTATAGGAGCCGTAGCTGAAAAACCGGATGCTGGAGCATTGTTAGGACCGACATTTGTATGTTTGGTAGGAGATCAATTTGCAAGATTACGAAGAGGAGATAGATTTTTTTACGAAGAAGGACAACAACCATCGTCATTCACTTTAGGTAAACCTCTCTCGCGTACCATCAATCAATCAATCAATCAATCAATCGATCGATCGATCGATTTCCCAACGCTCTCATTTTACCCTTTTTTTTTTTTTCTTATTTTCCAGAACAATTAAATCAAATTCGAAAATCAAATCTTGCTAGAATTTTATGCGATAATTCAGACGACATTGTTTTAATGCAACCTTTGGCCTTTTTCAAACCTTCTTTGGTGTAAGTAAAAAATACCTTTAAATTCTACAAACAAACAAAAAGACAAACAATATCAATCGTAAAATTTTTCTTTTTTCTTATCAGTAATCAAAGGGTCGACTGTAGAAGTGAATCCATATTAAAAGTTGATTTGGAACCTTGGAGAAACGAACAACCGGAGGTTAATTAACAATTTACATAGTAAACAACCCAACAATTACAATCATCAATTTAACCTTTGCCCTTACGAAACACCAACAACAACAACTAACAACAACAAACAACAACAACAATTATTTTTCCGTCGCCCGATGATTTTTTTTCTTTTTTTTTTTTTTTTTTTCATTTCCTTATTTAAAAAAATATATTTAATAATTTAAAATTAAAATTAAAACTAAAAAAACTTATTATAAATAATAATAATAATAATAATAATAATAATAATAATAATAATAATAATAATAATAATTACACGGTTTTTAATAATTTTTTTTTTTTTTATTGGTTGGAAACAAAGTCAAAGTCATCCGATGATTATCGATCATTATTATTTATAAATAAAAAAATTATTATTATTATTATTACTGCCAATTTTATTACTCATCGATCATTATTTTTTTATCACGTGAGTGCGTTACGCATACATTCGATATTATTATTATTATTATTATTATGAAAAAAACGCGCGCGTGATTTTCTTACGTTTTCACTTCGTTTTCCGATTACGATAAAAATAAAAAAAAATTATTTAATCGAATTATTTGGTACGCAGCCAAAAAAAAAAAAAAAATTAAAAGGTTTTTAAATCGCGATATATCGTTTTTTCGATAGTTCAATCCAATAATCGAATGATTCGAGTTTTAAAAACAAAACAAAACAAACAAAACCGTTTGGTTCGAATTCATTCGTTGAAAATAAAATAATTTAAAATTATTAATAAAACTGTATAAGAAAACCTGTGTAGGGAATTCATTCCTCCAATTCTACCTCCTCCTCCTACTTCTCCCACTCCTCCTCTTGCATCTGAAACATATATTTGTATATGTTTATAATTAAATCGTTGACGAAAAAAATATTAATAATAATAATAATTTTTTTTAAATACTCACCGCTGACTAGACCCAATATACCTGAAAATAAAATAAATAAATGAATTAATTATTTTTCCGGGAAAATTTTTAGATTATTATTATTATTATTATTATTAATTAACCTGGATAAAAGACGCTGCTTTTTTTCGCATGATATTTAGCATCTGGTATAAAAAGTTCACACTCGAATATGACGGGTGTTATTAAATTTTCATCTTCAATTAAAGCGGAAGCTGTTATGTTGTACGCTCCATTTTTATAATATTTTTCAACTATCGTATTATTAATAATTAATCTGAAAAAAAAATTATTATTATTATTATTATTATTATTATTATTATTATTATTATTAATAATTAAAATAACTATAAGTGCGTTAATAATGAAATGATTTACTTTGTTTTACGCTCCAGGTCTTTATATAAAGCCATGTGTGGCTCCGGATATATTCCTTGTGCTATGCAAGTTATGTTAACCCTTTCCAAATCCGGTTTTTTTTGTAACAAAATCATTTCTTTTCCAGGAGCTGGAATGATTAACAAAAAAAAAAAAAAAAATTTGTGACGTAATTAAAACAATTTAATCATAACGACTTCTTCTTCTCCTCGGGTATTTTTAAATACAAAAAAAAAAAAAAAAAAAAGATGAACGTTATGAAAATTATCTTTTATAGACTATAAAATTAATTGAGGACGTGACGACGATTCATTCATTTACTTAGGGGGAGGGGGAGGGAAAGGAGAAAGAAATATAAAAATTAATTCTTACCGAAAACGACCATTCTTTTCGTCATAAAATCTTCTCTTAAAAATGTCGATACCATACATTTATAATCTCCTGATAATTCCGTCGTTGGATTTTTAATGAAAAGCGCGCGATGCATTGATGAATTATGATCGGATACGCGATAATCTAAATCTAATCTACCTCTTAGTAAACCTAAATCTTGTGGTTTTTTCCCTGGAACCAAAAAAAAAAAAAAAAGACAAAATGTTTTATTAATATTTTTAACTAAGAGTTTTCCCTGGAAAATTTCAAATGAATTTTTGAATTACCAGGAATCCATTGATACACTGGAGAAGGACTATTGTTGTAAAACCATTTAACAACGAGTCCACTATTTGGATTTAAATCGTCTGGAAGCAAAGCATATTGACAATCTAATATTACGTAATTGCTACCATTTCTTACGGATCTTGGAACTGTTAAATCCGTGATTTGTAATCCGGTAACATCTGGAAAAAGAAGAATTTCATTAATCGTAATAATAATAATAATAATGATCGAGTCATAGAAATGGTAAGAAAAAATTTCGTTATATCCTTTTGCAACTATCAAATCATCATCAACAAAAAAAAAAAAAAAAATCATCTTTCATTAGTTTAACTCTGTCGGCCATGCAGTAAGTGTATACGTTACGGTCACCAATTTTTTTAGCAAAATCTTCCAACCCTGAAGTCAACTTCGTAACAAAGGAAAATAAAAAAAAATATTAGTAATAATTTCAAAATACCTAAAACGTTGAGAAATTTCCTTCTCTCTCCCCCTCCCCCCCCCCTCTATCTATCTTTCTTTCCCTAAAAACAATTTTTCTTAACCTTTTCTTAACCGAAAAAAAAAAAAAAAATTGAAAATTAGTATCAACACGGATTAAATTGGATTTGATTGGATTAGTTTGGGGGTTAGCTTGGATTATATCGGATTAGACGAGATTAAAAAAAAAAAATGATTTAAAAAAAATTTTTTTTTGTTTTTTTGTTTTTTGGGGGGGGAAAAAAGCGTTAATAATTAAAAAATTAATTAAAGATAAATCAATCTTTTTTAAAAGTAAAAGAATATCATTAAAGTGTAAACCTTATACAATTATCGTGTCAGAAGCAAATCAAACAAACAAAAAAAATTTTTTGTTGTGTTCGTTCATCACAGTCACGGACGTAATTTTTTTTTCCCTTTTTTTTTCTTTAACTTTTTCTTTAAATTAAAACAAAAAATAAAATTATAAAAACTAAAGAAAAGAAGAAGAAGAAAACACTTTTTTTTAAAATATTGATTTCGTTTAAAATAAAACACAAAAAATCCTCCCGGAAAAAACGGCAAACGTCTAAATTATAACAAAAGAAGCCAAAGTTTTTTTTTAAGGGTTGTTAACTATAAGGGAAATTGATTGATTCGTTTTAAACAAAAAGTACTTTTGGAATAAAAAACCATTTTTTTTTTTTAAGGGTCGTCGGCCACTTTATTTAGATCCTTTTGAAACCCTTTAATAAATAAATTTTTTTCTCCAAAATGAATAAAAATAATAATAATAAAAGTCATTATTACGACGAAATATAAATTTTATGGTTACCCTCCTAAATAATAATAATAATAATAATAATAATAATGAGTAATAAATTAATTGATTTTAATTGAAAATAAAAAAAATTCACGACATTTAAATTAAGAGCACGTGCTTCTGTCGTTTGTTCCTCTTATTGTGTTAAAGTTTTTTTTTTATTTATTTCCGTTTTTGTATTTACGATGAGAGAAAAAAATTTGTTTTCGTATCGTTATCAATGGCAAAAACGGTCTTATCACTACCCAATAAAAAATTGGGAATTAATTATAAATTAAAATAATTGTGCAAACTTACCGAGTAGACAATTCAATGCCCAAAACGAGAGCCAAGTGACGTAGAAAAAATTAGTTGCCATTATTTAAATAAATAAAACACAAATAAAATTAAATAAAATTTGTTCAGAACTTATTTATAACTGAAATTACTGAACCCACACATCGATGATATATAATTTAATACACTTTTTCGCATTAACTATATCTCATTTGTTGTTAATTTGACACTTTCATTCAATTAACAATATATATATATATATATGTAACAATAGTTTATTGTTTTTTTTTTTTTTTTTTTTTTTTTTACTCCGTCTTTAATCCACGAACACAAACAGTAACAACGACAAACAAATAAATAAAAATTTCACAACTTTAAAAACAATAATTTTCTACTGCTGTTGCTGTTGTTGGTGTTCTTGCTGTCGATGCTACTGCTGGAAAAAAAAAAAAAAAGAAAAAATTAAAAATCCACTTGCATAATTTTTAATCCCACGTATGATAAATAATAATAATAATTTTTCTCTTGTGTTTTTTTTTTTACTTGTCGTTGATGGATGCGTACTAACACAATTTTATTATTATTATTATCGTTTGTTATTTAAATAAAAAAAATAAATAAATAAAACTCACGTGCGAATTTTTTCCTACATCATTTTTCTCTGCATTTTGTTTGATCCCGAATCCCCGTTTTTTTTTTTTTTTTTTAAAAAAACCATTTTATACAAATTTTTTTTTTTTATTAAATAAAAAAACGTTTTTCACGCAGACAACAAAACAAACTCACGCACAACACAAACTTTTATTTAAATAAATAAATAAAAAAAAAAAAAAAAAAAAAACACAAACGAATTAAAAAACTTTTTAAATGTAAAAATGAGTTGGGTAAATAAGACGAAAGGGGGCGGTGGGCGTTGGGGGGAAGGGTAAAGAGGGGGAAAATGGTGATATAAATTTCACGATTTGTAAAAAAACAAAAAACACAAACGAATTCGATAAAAATAAAATTTAAACTGGCGAAATAAATAAATAAATAAAAAAAATAACGGCCAACGAACTAAGTACCGACATAAAACTCATGCATGGTTGATCTTAGAATAACCGATAAACAGGGTCGGAACTCCCCATTCTGTTTTTTTTTTTTTTTTTTTTTTTGTTTAAACAAATTTATTTTAATGATTCGCGAGTATTTATTTATTTATAAAAAAAATTTATAAAAAAAACGTCGACAAATAGCAAAAAAAAAAAAAAAATTAAAGAAATTTACCAAAAAAAAAAAAAAAAAACTAAACCAAAATCAACTCGGATTTTAAATGTTTTCGTTCCAGGTGTTTAAACTTTAACCGAATTTATACGACACTGAATTGTTCAAACAGGTGGCATACATAACGACAACAACGAGGGAGAATTAACGTATGGTATCATGGAGTTGAACCCGCACGCGACAACCGTAAAATAAATTCATAACCGTGGAAATATATTTATATATATTTTAATAACGAAACAAACGCGTTTCGGTACAACGATTCATTCAGTCCGCCGTTATTTTTTTTTTTTAAACGTTAAAAACGAGAGAGAGAGAAGGATAGGGTAAAAAAACGACAAAAACGATCGGGGGGAGAGGGAGGAGGGTGGGGTGGTGTAAAATCATTTAAAACCGCACAAAAAATTTTTTTTCCCAATTTAACAACTACTTTCACGTTAATTATTATTATTATTATTATTCCTATGATATTCATCATCCTATTTTTTCTTTAATTTTCTCTTCTGATTGTTTAACAACAAACGGTTGTTGTCGAGGAGTACAATTATCGATCGATCGACTGTAAAATAAATAATAATAATAATAAAATGAAAACAAATTTTTTAAAAACCACATTTAATTAATTAATTTTCTTTTACCTCAAAATAATTTTCTTTTTCTTCTCCACGTGAAAAACTTCTTGTTTCTCTCTCTCTCTCTCTCTCTTTCTTTTTACCGGAAGTTCTTTTTTTCATTTGGAATTCTTATATTATAAATGAATAATATTAATAATAATTATTATAATTGAATTTTTTTTTTTTTAATGTTTAAATACTGCTATATTGTGCAATATATATATTTATATATAATTAAATATTATTATCATTATTAAATTCTTTGCAAATAATTTTTTTTTTTTTTTTTATTACATAAAACAAATATACATACACATTTTTTTTTATTTATTTATTTATTTTAAAACTACGAGAGTGTGTGTGTTTGCGTGTTTGTGTGTGTGTGTGTGTGAACCCTGCCTTCATTTTCAATCAAAATCCTTTTTTTTTTTTTTCTCTTATTTGATTTATATTATTATTGTCAATGTTTCTGTCGTTTGTTGTTGTGGTTGTTGTTGTTGTCGTAATCGTCATCTTGATCGTCTTCAATACATAATACAATCCGTTAAATTTTCCGGCTAAAACTAAATTTAACTAACGATTAGTATATCGTTTTGTTTTTAAAAAATATGAAATTTATAAACATAAATTTTCCTTTTTTTTTTTTTTTTGTTACATCAATAATGTAAATTATGTATAATTTTTTTTTATATTCACAAAAGGCGACCGTTTTATTATCATTATTATTATTATAAACAATACATAAACAAAAAAAAAAAAAATGTTCGTTCCTTCTTCTTCATTACATTATTCGTTCGTTCGTTCGTTTGTTTGTTTCACTGAATCAAAAAAATATAATTTTTTGTTTGTTATAAGCTTATAAACTTTCAACAGTTAATGTTTTTTTTTTTTTTAAAGATAATAATAACTTCCGGTGGAAAACCGAATATATAATAATCGATAATCAATCAATTAATAATCTACTATTATATAAAATGATTTTACGTTTTCAGATTAACATTAATATAAAAAAAAAAATTTTTTTTTTCATTTTCCATCATTTCCACCCGCGCACTTACTCATTAACTCTATCGGCAAAACCGTCGCCATTTTCAATTTGTTGATCGGATTCCCGTTGCTTATCAATGGTGGTCGTGGTTGTGATCATGATTTGTGATACGTTCCTGTCGTTATTTCCTCCGCCGCCGCTGTCGCCGCCGTCGGCATTGTCTTGTCCCTTCCCATCGTTTCCTCCTTGTAAATTTTCCATCGGAATTTTAGAAAATTCTTTGTTGTTGTCATCGGAATACATTTGTTCCTGATAATCGGATCGTTCGAACGAAGATTCGCCGAGTGGAAAACTCTGTACCGGATAGCTGGATTTCGAAGAATCCGTCAGTTGGGTTAAAACGTAGGAATCTTGAGGAATCGCGGGCAACGGTAGAGGTACGTTACCCCTAGGGTAACCCTCGTCCTGTTGCTGCGGAGGAGAAGAATAATCGGGATAATTCGGAGGATCGGGTTTCATGTAACTCGGATTCGGATACCTATAAGTATTGTGAGCTACGAAATTCGTAGGATCCGACGGTGAATAATCTCTCCCTAATTGATTCCCGTAATTTTGACCATTCGGTGAATAATTTTGCGGTGGATAATTCATCGAGTAATTCGGAGGCATTCTCACGGGTTGCGGATGTGGGATGTTGGGTTGTGGCAAAGGGAGGGGCGTAGGATGAGAAAGAGGAGGAGGAGGAGGAGGAGGCGGAGCCTGTTGAGAATTTTGATAATTGTGCTGATAGACCGGATGTTGAGAGTCGTCGTAACTTTGGGGAACGTGAGACGACGAATACTGCATTAAATTTCCGGGCATGTTATACGGAGAATATTGAGAATCCGTTGCCATTTTTTTCTCCTGATAATTATTGACGTGCTGATGTTCTGCCGAAATATAATTTTGTACGTGGGGTTCTTGAACCGAATAACTATGAGATGAATTAGGTAGGGAAGTGGGAGCAGAAGGTACGGGAACAGAATTAGGAGGAAGAATCATATCGGGAGGATTATTGTTGTTGTTGTTGTTTATGGGTGTTGAAACTGACATACCTGATCGTGGCGGCATATCTGAAAACAGAAATTCTTATTAAATAAATTGTTTTACATTTTAAAAAATTTAAAAAAATAATATTTAAGAGCAGCGGCAGATTTATAGATGCCCCCAAAATGAGGACCGACAGTTTTACTAAAAAAAAAAAAAAACAAATTTTAAATTTTTCTTACCGCAATATTATAAATTAATTAATTAATAAAAAAAAAAAAATTTTTTATGTTTCCCTGATAAAACTGAAAAGCTTAAATTTTTTTTTATAATAAAAATTAACAACTTTAACTACAAAACAAACAAATTGTCTAATTATTTAAAAATTACTAAAAAAATAAACTTTTTAGGTCAAATCTGTAAAAAAAAGTGCAATCAAGGGATTTTTTTACCACAGCTAATTAAATTCAAAAGCTTTTCTTTTGTTGCGTGAAAAAAAAAAATTATTAAAAATAATAATAATAATAATAATAATAAAAATAAAAAATTATAAAATACTTAATTAGAGCATAAATGATATTTTATCATGCAAAATTAATTTTTTCTTTCTTTCTTTTAAACGTTTATAAAAATTATCTACTACTACTACAAATACAAGCATATGAGAAAATTATATATATAGAATAAGCCAAGTAAATTTAATTTTTTTTTTTTTTTTTTGAAAGAATCGAATTTGTTTAAGGAAATATATGTATTAACAACATTCATATCCGAAAATTAAGCTTTTCTCTTTACCTGTTTATTAATTTTCCTTAAAATTGAATTAGCACTCTAAAAAAAAAAAAAAAAAAAAAAAAGATAATAAAACATGTTTTTTTTTTTTTCTCAATTTGTTCAATTTTTATAAATACCCAATCCTGTACTTAAATAAATAAATAAATAAATAAATAAATAGACAAAAAACTGTATCTACTCCTATTTTTTTTTTTTTTTTTAAATAAATAATTGAATCAAGTTTCGCTGTTATTTTTTTTTTTTTTTTTTATATACTTTTACTTATATTATAGGGTTCTATAAATTAGCCACTGATATATAATCTAAAAATTGCCAAATTTCAATTTATTCCTCGTACTGTGGAATGTCTGATGAACGTCCATATCGTAAGAAAATCCTTGCTGGTGCATCCATCCGGTATTACCACTTTCTAAATTGCTCATACCTCCCGTGTCGGCCTCTGGCAAACCGCTAGCAAGTGAAAGAAGAGCATCCAAACCTAGACTTTCATCTAAATTAGTCGGTTCCACCTGCGGATGAACAGAATACGGGGAAATTAATTTTCATCTTTTTTTTTTTTAAATGTACGAATGTGTGCGTGTGCGTGTACTTTTTCCACGTGGCATTTAACACGAATTATACCTTGACTCTGTTGCACGTGCTCGTGTCCGACTGGGAAGAAATACCGTGTTGAGATTGAGAATGTCGCGATCCTTTTTTAACATTTAATTTTTGACAACCATCACAGATAAAATCCTCGTCTTCCCGTATATCTTTTTTATCGATTCCTAAACATTTAAAATGATACCACTTTTCACAGCCTCCGTCGCACTGAACCCAATCAACCTAAAATTATCAAATCCGATTTTTAATAAATTACTAAAATTTAAAAAAGCAAAAAAAAAAAAAAAAAGCAAAATTGAAAACCAACTTCTTTTCCGATAGGTTTTAAACATTTTTTGGCAGCGCAATTTTCGTCCGAATCCGAATCCGTACTCGAATCCTTTTCAATTTTTTTCTTTTTCTTCGTCAAAACTTTATTTTCATTTTCCTGTAATTTCCTTTTGATTTTTTTCCCCGTTTTAAATTTTTTATTCACGTCTTTAAAATTCTTTTTCCCAAATTTTTTACTTCCTTGAGAAATGGATGCGACGTTGACTTTTGACAAATCGTTATACACGGGTGGCGAATTCGAATGCGATTGTTTCAATTTGTACTTTTTACCCTTTATGCTCGTAGGCGTCGTTTCGTGTTCTTCCGTCCTTCTTTTCCTGTTCATATATAAATAACTTATTTAAAAAAAAAAAAAAATCATCATCATCATTATTTAATTTTTAAACGCGGTTAAAAAAAAAAAAACATGCCTGGCACGTTGTTTCGCTTTGACGCGATCCTTTTCTATTTTGCTAGCGATCAATTCCGATTCGAGTTGTTCTATCGCCGGATATTTTTCTTTTTCCGGTTTTGGTTTCGTAGCTTGAAGAATTCGCCAAATGTGAACGGTTTCATCTAATGAAACTTCCAACAAATCACCTTCCAACATTAATTCTTCTAATTCCGCCCTTGCTATTTCACTTAAAACAAGAGGAGGTTGTCTGCGAAAAAAAAAAAAAACGAAACAATTAAATTTTAAAACGTAAAAAATTATTATTATCTTAAAAACAAGAAAGTAAAAATTTTAACGTACTTATTTTGTTTCACTAGAGGAGTTTTACTCGCCGTGCTGTAGGCATGCTCCGAATTTCCAGAAAAGTAAGCTTGCGCCGAAGCAGAATCGTCATTTTTGTCCGAGAAACTTTCTTGCACGTGATCTTGATTGAAACCATTTTGAGAATGATCGTCGTTATTTTGACTAAGCCATCCGGAGGCTGTTGAATTGTTTGTTTGAGATTGTGGAGAATCCTCGTTGGATGTCACGCCGGAAATGGCACGAACTCGCCTGTGTAACTCTGTATTTCCTAAATCAAAATACGAAATAAATATTTTAAAAGATTAAATTTTTTAAATACAAATCGATTGATTATTGATTTATTTTAATAAGTTTTCTGTATACCTATTTTACCGGCTGCTTTTTTCAATTCACTAGTAATTATCTTTTCAGTCTTTTCCCGTGCTGCAGCTTCAACCAATTTCTGACTGAGCACAGACAATTTTGCTAATGCGTTTGCTATTTCATCCGTGGCTAAAGACGTTCTTGCTCTATCTTGCCAGTTCATTGCTCTTTCGGTAAGACATTGAAGCGCTTCACCCTCGGGTAAACGAACCTTTTTACACAAAAAAAAATAAATTTTTGTTAATTTTAAACGAATTTTGGAATTGAGAATAACACCCAAGATAATTAACATCTTTGGAAAAAGAAATTACTTCGAGTTTTTGTAGTGAGACTAAGAGAGATAATATCGTTTCCAGCCTTGGCCTTCTGGATCTTAAACAGCAGGGACAAAGAAATTTAACTTCTCGAGTCGCAGCTGCGGCCAATTGTTGGGCAGGACTTTGTTTAGATTTAGCTCCCGTGTGTTTGGGCAATGGAACGCAAGCTGCATGAAACCAATCCTTGCATAATTCACACTGCAGCATGAAACTGAAAAGAAAAATTAAAAATTTAATACTTCTTTTTTTTTTTTTTTTTTTAAATAATTATAAATAATCGTACCCAGTTGCTCCTCTTCTGCATATGCAATATTTAATGTCACCCTTGTCGTTGGCTCGCTTTCTTAAATTTTGCAAACGAAGATCACGCATTGAAGTCATTTCTTGCCTTTCGGCATGCTTAAAAGCAGCAACCACGGCGACTGGACTAACGGTTCCTATTTCATAAAAAAAAAAATTATATAATAAACAACTTTGGGAAATTTTAATTTCTTTATTTCTAAAATCCTACAATATATACATACCTTCCAATTTCACATCAAAGACGATTGGAGCTGAATACGAATTGTCATCGTTTGGTTTTTTCTTTTTCATTTTTAAAACGTTTATCCCGAATTCGGTTCTGGGACTCAGAGCTTCCATCAACGTGTATCTAGAGTTTTTACGCAAAAAAGTTCGAGCAGTTCTTTCTTTCCACGATTTGGCATTTTCTAATTTCGATTCGAATACGGACATGACTTCCAATTTAACGGGAATATTTTTTCCTTTATTCACCTTGAAAGCAAAATCATTTAAACAATTTAATTTTTTTTTTAAAAAGTCCACAAGTTGAAATTTATATAGTGAAAATGCAATTACTAAATTTTCCAAAGTATCCAAGTAAGGAAAATCGGGTGCATTTTCAATAGCTTCGACTTTAACTATCCAATCTTTAGCTTTCTTTAAAGCATCCCGTAAACTTCCTTCGCTGGGTAAATAGGCGGGCAATTCTTCTCCTTCGCTGATCAGTTTTTCAAGAGCGGATATTGGTTGCCTTTGCTTTGAACTCAGGTATTCTTTAGCTTTCTCTTCCCATTTTTCAACATTCATTAAAAGTTGCTAAAAAACAATAAATAGAGCAATTACTTTCGTAAAATACCCAGAGATTAAGAATATTGCATTGCTTACTTGTAAACAAGCCATTTCTTTTTCTACCAACGGGTGAGGAGGCAATTCAACTCCAGCATCCAATAAACTTCTTAAAACGTCAAGCGTCACCTCGTCTTCATCTTCTTTGGTATCAGCTACTTCTTCGAGCCAAGTAATTCTTTGAAGATTATGTTTTAGTACGACTAATTCCGGCAATTCGACATCGAGCATTATTCCTGTCAAATATATCAATCATTTAGAGAACAAAATTTATCCCGGTTATCCCGACAGTTAATTATTCGGTCTCTCGGCTATGAGAACATAACTTCAGCAAATATATTCTCCTATCCAACTTTAAACGTGTTTAAACGTACCCGCATCTATGCATTTTTCCAAAGCGGCAGAATCGGCCGATTCTAAATCTAATAGTTTTTTAGCCTCGTTTTGAAAATCTTTAACTTTTTCTAATAATTCTTTAATCGTTTCCGTTTCTTTTAAAACGCAACATAAATTTTCAATTTCTTCGTAAAACAATGTTAATTCTTCCATTGTTAGCTTATATTTTGATTCAGCAGTTTGCCTTGTTCGCGTTCTTAGTTTTTTGTTGGCTAATTGTTGGGCTACGGTTGCGCATTTTTCGGCTTCTTCAACGGCAACTTTTAAATTCTGAAAATTTTTTTTTTTAAAAATTGAATTAGTCTTTGTTTTTTTTTTTTTTTGCTTTTGAGGTTCCAACAAACAAATACTAACCGTCAATAAATCCGTAGTTGGAAATTTTTTATCGTATGCCGTACTTAATAATGATTTCAATTCCGAAAAAGTCAAAGTTTTTTCTTTAGTTTTGTCTAATGCATTGGTAACATTATCACACCAAATATCATAACATTCCACTCTTAATTTTAGTTTTTCCAACATGTCTGGTAATTCATCCAGAGTGTATCTGTATCGTAAAGTATGACTTTCAGGAGGGCATTTACATAATTCAGTTGAATGTCGTAAACAAACTAATTGTTCATTATTGCAGCTACTGCAAAATACAAAAAAAAAAAAAAAAAAAAAAAATTGATTTTTATTGACGGGGCCATTTTTATAAAAAAAAAAAACCTGTAAAATTATTTCTAATATTTTAATTTTTACCAAGTGACGGCTGACAAAAAGCATGTAGTTTTACAAATTTCACATTGACGTTCATCGTCTGGAAGTAATTCAAAAGCTTCCCGTTCTGATTCAGTCACTCCCCATTCTGTAAAAAAAAAAAAAAAAAAAACAAAATTGATAGATTTTATTTTCAAATGAATTTTATTATAATACATAAAAATAATTTTTGCAATTACCCAACAAGCTTTTTCGTAATTTTTTTTCTGTTTGGACCATAATTGTCATATCTTGAAATGTTGCCGTTGCGACGGTCAAATCCAGACTGTTTGGACAACTTGCCATTTTGCATATTAGTTCATCGTGCGAAAAAACGCAATACCTAAATATATAAAACGAGTGTGTATTAAATTAAATAAAGTCAATAATTTTACATAAAATAATCGATAAAGTTTTAAAACCTTCGCAACATGGAATAATGATCAACGCATTCTCTGCCTTTTTGCAACCAATCAGCTGGAGCAAAATTTACAGCCTCCGCAAAATTGTACCCTTGATTAAATCCAGCGTGATAAGCACGTGGAAAAGTTATTACGAATTCTCCAGCTTCTTGATCGGTTCTGGAAAAATAATAAAATTTTTTTTTTTAATTAATCAAACGTAAAAAAAAAAAAAAAATTATTTAAATTAGCGCGCTATTAGTAATTTATACGATACCTGTAAACTGGAACTCCGGCGTCCATCAATATGTTGGGATTCATTATGGTAACAAGTTGATGAAGTAAGTCCGGCTGACTTTGAAATAATTCAGGTGCCGCTTTTTTCATTGATAACTCGAAATCTTCTGCTTTCCCGCCGGGAACACCGTACCAGGTTTTGGCCTCGCCCCAATGTAAATAATTTATCGAGTACGACCAGTGATCTTCATTATGCCAACAAAATGTTGCGAAACACATACCCACGTACATCCACGGAACTTTCATACCTTTAAAAATATACTCGATTGTAGTAAATAAATTACGTTTGTATGCCATTACAGTAAATATAAGAAAAAACTTTACCTGAAATGTCGGCATTAATATGTCCTAAAACAGAACTTTCGAGACAGGGTAAATTGTTCAAATTCCATTTCGATTTCGCATATTCTATTTCACACGTAGCCATTTCTTCAACACTAATTTTCGTGGGAAAACCAGATCCGTGATCCATGGTGTGCAAATCAGCTCCATATTCGACCTAATATAATTTACTTATTTAAATACATTCATTCGAATTTCTACTTATAAAAATTTTAGACACAAAAACTCACCGTAACATCTTCATCTATAGAACTGACGATTCTCCAAAATTCTTTTTCAATCAAAGAAGATGGAACCATGTGAACAGGCATGTTAAAGTAATCTGATTTAAACTGATCGGCCATTTCTCCGAATTGTTGCAAAGTGTACTCCCGTCTCGCCTGTTCAAATCCAAACGCTTCCATTGGTTTGGAAACCTCAGCAGCAACGCATTTAGGGCATCTCCAATCACCTGAAGCAAAATTGAATTTTTTTTTTTTAAATTAAATTTAAAAAAAAAAATACAAAGACTAATCGAAAGATAATAAATGAATCACCTTTGGGAATTTCAGTTAGAGGTGGAAGTAGACAAAAAGTATGATAAGAATCATCACAACCGTCGCATAATAACATATTTTCTTCGGCATCACCTCTTTCGCAATTGTGACAAATATACTTGGCTAATGGATCATACTCATAACTAGTATTTGTTTTTATTTCTTTTTTCTTACATTTCGCCTTACTTTCAGAACATTCTACTAAAACGATACATTTACATTAATCAATGAAAAGAAATAAATATTAATATTATTTAAGTTAATTTAAAATATAAATTATATTCACCCTGTTTAGATTTATTCTGAAAACATCTTTTAGATCTTCTAGCATACTTTTCTGTGGGAGGTTTGATAGCTTGTCTAGATACAATTCCGTGGGGTTTATAATCTTTTTCCTTTTTTTTAGAATCTGATACACTGCTATCACAATCCAAACTGTCATCGGTTTCCGCTTTAATTTGTGAAACAGCTTTGCCCTGCTTGAATATATCAAAAGGATGCAAAATCCTTTCGTAAAGATGTTTTAAAGCACTACCTAAAAATCACAAATAAAAATAAATGAGTTAGAAATATTTATACTTTATTAATAATAATTTAAAATATTTTCAATTATATAAAAATTAACCTAAATCTCTTCCTGATGAAAATCCCATTTTATTGGCTATTTTAGACCATTTTCTATTAGTGGTAGTCCCATAAAATCCACCTTCTTCTTCGACAAATCTATGAAGAGCATATAAATCTAAAGCTCTTCTTTCGACCATGGGAATTTTCAATGAGCTACCCTGAAGCTCCCAAAATTTAGCTATCTGGTCTAAGAAATTTAGTTTAATTCTCGTCTTGGCTTCTAATTCATTTAATCTTTGAATTCTAGGAGTAAATTTGAATCTAAACAAAAACCCATTAAAAGTTAATATGAATGTGCGTTAAAAACGAATTGTTTAAAAACAAAATAAGTAATTACGTACCTGTCTACATCGACAGCAAATGGTGGCTGCCAATCTGAAGGAGGTTTAATTTTACATATTCCATACTTTTCTGCTTCAGGTCTGATCTTAGCAATATATGCTAAAGGATCATCAAACTCACTGCTTTGTGGAGTGTATACAGGAGCTTCGGGAGGAACGACAAAATGAAATTCCTCTGCCACTAATGGAGATAATTGTAATCCTTTACTTGAACTTTTAGAAGGAGACTTTTCTGATTTAAATACCATTATTTCACTGTATATTATTATATGTATATATATGTATAAATATATCAAAATATTTAAGAAATTTTATATAAATTCTGAAAAAAAAAAAAATTATACATAAAAATAAAGATTAATTTCTTGCATAAGGAAATTCTTATGCAATTTTATTTAACAAACACAAAAAAAACTATTCAAATTTAGTTTTTTTTTTTTTTTTTTTAATTTTTAATGTGATATACAGTTTAAAGTATTTATTACAAATATTTATTTTAAAATTTAAAAAAAAAATTAAAATTCAAAACTTAATTACTCATGAGCAATATGTAAAAAAAAAATTAAACAAAGATAGCACATCAACATTAAGATAGCTTCCCCAAAGATGCACTTGCCCCCCCCTCTACACAATTTTCCCCAAAGTAATCAAGGCCTAAGTTATAAATATTACACGACGAATAATTTCTAAAAAGTTAGTTATTTTCTTGCCGTATATTAAAAATAATTTTGTAAAAAGGGATAAAAATATAATTCGCGCAATATATAATATACTAAGAAGTATTAAATTCATAAAAAAAATGAGGCTATCTTAAAGTGCTCCTACGGACTGCGACCACTGTGCCATTGTTGCAATGAACAGGTCGCACAATCCTTTTCTGATTTAAGCATGGTCACAAAAATTTAAGTAAGAAAATACAATCAGCACACACTTTCATTCACCTCCCACTAGTACGTTATTTAACTAGCGAAATAACGTCTTTTAAACGAAAATAAAAAAATTTAAACTATAAATGGTCGTCCATTTTTAAACGGCAATATATCACGGACGCTTACTACAATATCCTACTTTCGAAAATGTATCATAAAAAAAATGTACCTGCAATTACATTTTCACTTTTTTCCTTAAATTTCTTCATAACAAATAATCTGTCACTTTACTGTTTAATTCACTTTACCAAATCGTCCCCGTGACATACGCTTTGTAAAAAAACATTTTCTATTTTTATTAATACGGCAGCCATAATGTAAGTTCTCACCGCCTGTTAGTGGATGACGTGATAAGTTTTTTATTAAACGCTGCCTCCGAGATTCATCAAATCTCCTATTTTTCCTAATTAATTGTCAGTTTAGAATTTCATATAAAAAAATTTTATTTAAAAAAAAAAAAATGCTAACCAATTTTACATTAATTTATCACAAATTAATTTTAGATTTTTAAAAAATTTGTAAATCCTCATTTCAGAAATTCTTTTTCTTTAAAATTTATTTTGAAATAAACTACTTTTCTTTACCCAAAAAAAATTATATGAAACGAAAACCAAACTTACAGATTCCATAATTATATTTAATCTGAAGTTTATAATTTCAATTTTATTTTTTCCGTATTTTAAAATATAAATTTACCTGTTCCTCTTTAAAATGTTCGCCATCAATTTAAAAAAAAAAATTTTTAACTTAAATACAGTTGTAAATAAATATGGTTGTGTTTACCTAATTCGACAAGTTAATTTCCTTCCATGAAAAAAATATCAAAAACCATATTTTAGTCATTTTTATTTATATTTTTAAGAACGAATTTTCTTTTTCTTTTTTCTTTTTTTTTTTTTTTTTTTTTTTTTTGAATAAGTTATTAAATAATAAATATTTAAATTAATATGGAAGAAATTTATGAATGGATTGATACAATTGGAGATAAAATACCATTTTCAAGACCGAAAAAAAATTTTGCCAGAGATTTTTCTGATGGAGGTAAAAAAATTGTACATAAAACTTTCGCAAAATTCCTTTTTATTTTATTTATTTAAATAAAAATATAAAATTTTAGTTCTTGTCGCTGAATTATTAAAATATTTTTATCCGAGAATTGTCGAATTACATAATTATCCTGCAGCAAATTCTTATGCTCTTAAAATAGAAAATTGGAATACAATGAACAGAAAGGTTAAAAAAATTAATATTATTATTTTTTAAAAAAAAATTAATTTAAAATTAAAATTAATTAATTATTAATTAGGTTTTATCAAAATTACAACTTCAACTTAGTTCAAATATAATAGAAGAACTATCTAGAGCAAATCCAAAAGCTGTTGAAAAATTATTGCAGGAAATTAAAAATAAAATTGAATCGACAACTAATGTCGAATCGAAAGAAAGCGACGAAACTTTAAATTCAGAATTCACAGGTAAAATTTTATTAATTATTAATTAATAAATAACTAATCAATAACACTAACAATACAAAAAAACAATTATCATATTAATTTTTCAAGATGAAATAATAAAAGTACCCGTGAGTACGAGCGAAGAAGGTGAAAAAATATTTAAAAAAATGATTCCGGCAATACTTTTGGAAAAAAAAATAGCAGAAATAAAAAAAAAAGATAAAGCAATAGCTCTATTACAAAAAAAGGTAATGAAAATTATTATTATTATTATAAATAAATAAATAAATAATAAATTTTTAAATTTTTTTAAAGGTTGAACATCTAGAAAGTTTGCTGTTGTTAAAAGAAACAAGAATCCACGATTTAACAACACAATTATATAAACCTGAAAGAAATGAATTTTCATTTAAAACTCAAAATCAATATCATACTTCACTTTAAATTTAAAAAAAAAAAATTTTAATAATAATGATAATTATTAATAATTTGAATTTGAATGAAAAAAAACGGTACATAAATATGTGAAAACAATTGTGTGAAGTATATAACATAAGTATAATGAAAAACTATATACATATATATTTTTAAAAAAATGTAAATTTTATTTATTTATTTATTTACTGACTATCGATAATATTAATTAATTGTACGACGCAAGAAATTATTATAAATAAATAAATAATTAATTTAAAAATATATTATTTTAAAAGAGGTAGGCTTTTTATGTCGACATCATTTCGTAACAAACAAACAAACAAAAAAGTATTTACAAACTAACTAATAATAATAATAATTTTCGTTTATGAATTTGTATATAAATTTAAAATTTTAACTCGAATAAAAATAATAATAATAATAATAATAATAATAATAATAATAATTTTTTTACACTCGAACCTAATATGTACTAAATATTTTTTTTTTTTTTAATTCAATGTAATAATAATAATAATCGGTGGAAGGAATGATGATAATGATAAAAGAAAATGTGTAAATTTTTTTGTAAATATTAATAATAATAATAATAATGGTAATGAGTAGTTTATACGAATAATTTTTTTTTTTAAATAAATAAATAAAAAATAAGAAAAAAATCGATAAACTTGAAAAAACTTTAGATTTTCGTCCGTGAACCGTGTCAACGATAAATGATTTTTTTATGACTTTTTTTAAATATTTTTTATTCACACACAACGACTGAACAAAACCTGGAATATAACAAACGAGTTATGTGAGTTTTGTGACGTTTTTTTTTTTTAAAAAAAAATTTTTTTTTTTTTTTAATTGAAAACATCATAAGAGGAGGACAACAACAACGAAAAAAAATAGTTTTTAAAAATAAAAATTAGAACGGATAATTTCTTTCGATAGTTCTTCCGTAATTTTTTTTTTTTTTTACTTTCACTTTTCTAGTGTATAATCAAGGTTTTGTAACTCGCACAGTACATCATTGACTAACAAACGGTAAACAATCATCATTATTATTATTTTCATTTTTGTAAGTTGTATTACATTTTATTTATTTTTAATAAGTGTGCCAGATACTTTATACATATTTACACATAATTTTTTTATTAAATTCAAATAATTATTAAAAAATAATCCATAAGTTTTTTTAAATTAATTTTTTTTTCTTGTATTGTTCAAACTTCATTTCGGATATAAATAAATACATAAAAATCGATTCGATATTTTTTATTATTTAATAATAATGATTTTAAGCGTAGATTTATTATAAATAAATTTATTTTAAATAAATAAATAAGTTAATAATTTATTTAAACACCGGCATGTAACTGCGTTAACGTATTAATAATTGGTTTTTTTCAAACCGGACTGACCCTTTTCAAGGTTTTGTTCAATAACCATCATTTGTTTCGTTTAAAATTATTATTATTATTTGCAAATGCTTAATAATTTTTTATTAAACGCTTTATATTAATATATTTTACGTAAAAAAAAAATTCTTTTATATTATTTAAACAAAATAAAATCAATAAATTTTTTTAGAAAAAAAAAAAAAGTCATTGAAAAAACAAGTTTTTATATATAATTTTTTTGGGATTTTCCAAACGTAATTATTATTATTATCATCACTTTTAAATACCTAAGGGAATGATGTATACGAAAAAAAAAAAATTCCACGTGATTAAAAATTACGTTTTTTTTTTTTTCAATTTCAGGTATACGAAACATTATTTTCGGTATGGCTTTGACAAGTTTACAATTGGCATTAGTCGTTATTTTTTCATTAGTTTTATTATTATTATTAATTCTATTGGCGTTTAAAGTATATATAATACTTAACAAACGTGAAAAAGCAAGTACGGCCAAAATGAATGGTAAAATTGTTATAATTACTGGAGCCAATTCAGGTATCGGAAAAGAAACGGCTAAGGAATTGGCACTTAGAGGTGCTAAAGTTATAATGGCTTGTAGAAATATAGACGTTGCAAATAAAGTAAAAGGTAAAAATTAAAAATCTTTTAAATAAGAGAAAATAAAGAGTTTTACATTTAATTTTTATTCATCAGATGAAATAGTTAAAGAAACAAAGAATGACAATGTGATAGTTAAAAAGTTGGACCTTAGTTCTTTGTCTTCTGTTAGAAGTTTTGCTGAAGATATAAATAAGACAGAAGGAAAATTGGATGTTTTGATTCATAATGCAGGAGTTGCGTATACATTTGAAAAAGTTGTTACTAAAGATGGATTGGATATGACAATGGCTACAAATCATTTTGGTCCATTTTTATTGACACATCTTTTGATAGGTATAATGCACAGCACATTTACTTATGAAAATTTCGAATTGATTGATATTTTTTTAAAAAAATCATTCTCGGATTTTAGATTTGTTAAAAAAATCAAAACCATCTAGAATAGTGGTGGTTGCATCAGAACTTTATGTTTTTGCATTCAATTTTAATGTTAATATGTTAAATCCTGTAAGATTTTGGTTTCCTGCTTATCTTTATTACTATTCAAAATTTGCAAATATTCTTTTCGCACTGGAACTGTCGAGAAAATTGGAGAACACAGGTAATTGAATTTTTTTTGAATTTTAATCATATAGTTTAATGAAATAAATTTTAAAAAATAAAACAAATTTTTTTTCAGGAGTTACTGTGAATTGTTTACATCCAGGAATGATCGATTCTGGAATTTGGAGAAATGTACCTTTCCCACTTAATTTATTTCTCCTACCGTTAACTAAAGTACTTTTTAAAACACCCCAAGAAGGATGTCAGACAACTGTCAATTGTGCAGTCGCACCAGAACTTGCTAATGTCACTGGGAAATATTTTATGAATTGCAAGGTTAATTTCTAAGCTAAATATTTTTGGTTGTTACTTAAACATGACATTGTAATTTTCTATAATTTAATTTGATAATTTAAATATTTATTGTAGGAACGTGAACTAGCTGGATTTGTTAAGGATTGTGCTAAAGCTAAAAAAGTTTGGGAATTAAGCGAAGAATTTGTCAAGTTACAAGAAACTGATCCGAGGATTTGATAAAAATTAATTTTTGGTAAAATAACATTTTTTTTTCCGTATTAAATAAGGAAAATGAGAAATTTTCCTAAGTGCAAAATACATGAAAGAGCAAATGAAAAAAGTAAAGATGGAGTTGTGTAGTACACAAATTATTTGTTAAGTTTATATAATGGTTTAGGTGATTCTACAAATGAAACAATTTATTCACAATGCTACTTAATTTATATGTGAACTTTAATAATTAATAATTTTATATTTTTTAATGCAAAAAAAAATTAAGCTGGTTTTTTTGTACTAAAAATTGATAGAAAATTTTAAATACTAGTTTTCACTTTAAGTTTTTTTTTTTTTTTTTTTTTGTAGAATTATTAATGTTAGAAATATTTATTTAATAATAAATTTTATTATTAGCTTTTTACGAGTATTTTTCATAAGTAAATGTGTTTTAAATGCATTATAGACTTACAACTGAAAAAAAATCAATTAAAATAATTATATTGGCAACAAAATATTGCCGAAAATATACATTGTAAAACCTATAAAATGTACTTTTTAAATTAGATGAACACTATATCATATAATATAAAAAATTTTGAAAAAATTTAAGTGTTAATTATTTAAACTTAAACTCATTTCAAAATCTTTTTTTTTTTTTTTTTCAAATAAATTAGATAATATAGTGAACATATACAATATATAAACAAAATAAATTGTTTTTACGGATTGAAAAAATAATATTTAATGCTTACAATTGAATAATAATTGCTGAAATTTAATTAAATTGAATAAAGTCCGTGTGTGTAAAACTCTGATAATGTTTTCAAAATGTCGTTATTGACGTGGGATTAGAATTCGAACGTGTACATAGCAAGTAAATAGACGCCATTAAATCACTTAATTTCGTATTTATATATATTTATTGTATAAATCAGACAGTATGTCTGAGGGTTTAAGTTCTGGAAACGATAAAGAGGAAAAAACTCTTGATTCCTCACCAAAAAATGGACGTACTTTATCTACTAGTACGTCTGGATTCGAACCATTAGATCCTCACGATCCAAATATCAGTTTACTAGCCAATAAAATGTTTCAAAAATGTGCAGAATTATTATTAGGTAATCAATCGATATTATTATTTTTCTTATTTTATTTAATTTGTTATTTCATTTTTAAACTATACCATTTTTAGGAGAACTTACTTCAACTCAAGAAGACTACAATTTATTAGAAAATATGAATAAGGCTGTGATAACAAAGTATTCAGATATGCATCAAGTAGCCATAAAAATTACAAATTCAATGCAAGAAATTGATACAAAATATAAACAGTTAAGGCCATATTTAGATCAGATAGATTTAATTGAAGATAGTGTTAATAAATTAGAACAAGCAGCTTATAAATTAGATAGCTATTCGAAAAGATTAGAAAGTCAGTATCAAATCATATCAAAAAAATAAAAATTACATAAAAAACTTTTACACATAAAATACAATATTTACAGAAATTTAACATTAAAAAAACATTTTAATTTTTACAATATTTAAAATGTTAATCAGTAGTTCATTACGATAATGTTTCCATATTTTAAATTCATTCCGAAAATTGTCTGCATTTCAGTGTATAATTTATATTTTAACTAAAATTTTAAATGAAAAAAACATTCTGTACAAAAAAAAAAAAGTACCTTAAATATTATTTAATGAAGTATGGAAAAATCAATAGTTGATATTAAGTCAAAAAAATATATACTTTTTATTTTTAGCTTTCTCTTTTCAAAAAAGCGTAAATTTTATATAGCACATTTACCAAACTGAGAGTTATCTTTCAACTCATGAAAGCTATTCAAAAAAATTCTTGAACAATTTTACTGCTTATATCCTTTTTAAAAAAAAAAAATTTCCTGTTGAAAAAATCAAATCGACAACAAAAAAAAAGTAATAACTGCCTCATTCTGCATTTTAAATTATTATTATTATTATTATTAAAAAGTTTTCCTCCTCTCACTTTTAAATTGAATCAAAGTAATCACCTTTTTCCATCTTCCCATAATAAAATAAATAAATATGACTAAAATACTGAAGGAGCACTTGATGATTTATCTTTGAAATTTTTAATTTAACTTCAATCATTATTAATTAATTAATCAATCACAAAATCAATTTTTTTTTTAAATATATATTTACGTAGACTAATATTGTCTTAAAATTGTGTAGAGAGAGAGAGAGAGAGGGAAAAAAAAAGATTTCAACTTTTTTTTTTTTCTTACATCTCCTCATGTGCTTTTCTCTTTTTTTTTTCAAATTTCATTTGCTAAATTCTTTTCTCTCTCTCTCTCTCTCATCTTTGTAATAAATTTATTACTTTTGACCCCCATTTTAATTTTTCAAACTAATTTAAATATAATCCTAGTAATAATTAATTACTGTGAAACTATTAATTTAATTTGTTCCCTAAAAAAAAAAAAAATTTTTTTTTCCTGTCTACCTATATAAATAAAATCCTAACCGACATGTGAGGATTTATTTATATTTTCTTTTAAAATTTATTTTCCATCATTTTTTTCGATTTTTTAATTTCGCTTGTGCTTCTTTTAAAAGCAAATCAAAGGAATCATAATTATTTCTCGTCGTAGGCGTAGGCGTATCTTTAAAACCTGAATAAGAAGTAGGCATTCCGTCTGCAACAAAAAAATGGTATTTATTTTTTAAAAAACTTTAACTTTACTAATATTATTATCATTATTTGAAATTAATAAGTACCCAAATCAGCATATTTTTCTTTACAAAATCCTCTACGACCGCCAAAACACAAATCGTATCGTGGCAATGATGGATCATCGTTGCCATGTTCAACGGCATCATATGCATCTGCCTTGTACGCGTACGTAACAAATCCATAATTATCACTAAAAATTCAATATTTATTTTTATTAAAAAAAACCTTTTCCTTTTTCGAAAAGATAATAATAATAATTACAACAACTCACCCATATTCTCTAAAATGCAAACTAATGTCTATGATTGGCCCGAAAATACTGAATCGTTTTCTGAGCTTGGCACTTGTCATCCCTTCTTCTATTCTTCCCACATAAATGACTCGTCTCTCTTCAATCTGCCTTTGTTTTTCTCGCATCGAATAAGCATAAAAAGGTGATCTGGATCTAAAAATTTTAATTATGTTCACCTGATAGGCTCCTACAACTGATTTTCCTAATAGAAATAACTTTTTACCTCCTTTTATTATTAGCATGTCTACTGTGGTGATAACTATTGAATCTACTTTTATTTCCATAATATCGATTTCTAGATCTTGATCTTTCTCTCGACGACGAACCCGATCTAGATCTTCTTCTGTATCTATTACATTAATTTACAAAATTACTTTGTCTTTCAAATCGTACAATAAACAATTACCTTGAAATTAACAAAAAAAAAAAAAAAAAAAAAAAAACTTACCTCGAGTAATTTCTGCTATTACGTTTATTTTTCCCATAATCGCTAGAAGTTGAACTTTCTCTAGATCGTGATCTGGAAGAAGATCCAGATGAGAAATCAGATCTTTTATCCCGATTTCTGGACCACCTGAAAAAATTAAAATTAAAAAGATTTTTTCGACTGCACATTCATTCGATTTGAATTTTTCGATTGAAATTCCAACGAAAATTGTAATTTTTTTTTTTTTTTATTAAAACTAAAATACATTTCCCTAAAAAAAAAAAAGAAAAAAATTTAATGTAATATTGTTATAAACCTAGATTTATATCTTCCTCGATCTTCATGTCGAACAGAATTACTACTATTACTGCGACTCCGCCATCTTGACCTTGATCTCGATCTCGATCTCGATTGTTTTCTA